TGGTGGCTTCGTCGTAGTCGTGGTATATTGGCTTATTCCCCGACTTGTTCTTGCTGGTGCTCTTCTTATCTTGCCCTTTTTCTTTCTCCTCAGTCTGAGCCCTTCCCTTGATCTTAAACCCCTTCTCCTTCTGCCGCGAGTTCCCACCATGGTTCGACTCCTTTCCTCTCGACTCCGCTTTCCCCAACATTTTCATCTGCTCCTGATAAGCCTCGTAAGCCTTGCCGGCTCGTTCCAACTGTTGGATGTACTCGGAGTCGTCATCGGTTGGATCGAAGCGCGAGTGGCGTTCTCGGATTTCATTTGGTAGCCCTTGGAGCAAGGCGGCGCGATAGGATGCCCCTTTCATCTGAGCATGCTGGTTCATAATCTCCATCCTCGTCAGGTAGTCGCCGATGTTAGCAGAGTACTTAAACTGCTGCATTTTCATCGCGTTTTCCATAGCCTCCTGAGTGCTTAGGAAACGTTTCCTGACTTCCTGACGAAATCGAGCCCAAGTGGCATAGTCTGCACCAGCCGGGCCCAACATTTTAGTCTCGATATACTCCATGAACCATTCCTTTGCCAACCCGCACGTATACGTCCCAGCGAACAGTACCTTGTTCCTGTCCGTTCGGAACTTCTTAGGCTTCTGCTCGAAGTAGATCTCGCACTCCATGAGCCAATGTCGCAGGTTATGCTTCCTGGCATTATCGAACTCAAATGGTATTTTGGCGAGTGAATCTACCATATCCTCGTCTTCAGGCGGCGCCGAATTCCGGTTCCCGCCTCGATTCATTCTCCAATTCTTCCGACCATGCAACCATTCGCTGTTATCATCGTCATCGTCGTCGGAAGGTTCTGGATCTCCCCCAACATTCCCTCTTGGTGGGTTTCGGGGAGGTTGATTTCCACCATTCCCTCCTACCGGAGCAGCTCCTACCGGTCGCCTGCCACTGTTTCCCTGCACTGGGCTGGCGTCCTCCGGTTGCTTGCCTCCATTTCCACCAACTGGGCCAGCTTCTTCTGGTTGCTTGCCATTTCCTGACGTTTGGGGGCCAGCATTTTGGGGGTTCTTGCCATTGCCAACAGGAACCGTTCGGGGTGCATTCGGGTCTAAGGGGGCACTGGCCACGGAAGGGGCTACTGACAAGTGTTGTCGCAGTAGTTCCTCCATCTCGGCTATCCGTTGGTTTCTTATCTCATCGGACTGCTTGAATTGCGCAAACATAGCTCGTTGTTCCCCTTTCTCCTGCTCTCGCTCTTCTCGTACCATCCTCAGTTGTCGCTCCGCCTCCAACAGTTGGTTCTGGGTAATCCGATGGTTACGATCCAGAACCTCGTGGTCGGCGGTTCGTGCGGCTTCATGCATTTGTTGGACATTGGTGACGAGCTCAAAGAGCGATTCGAGATGTTGTTTTTGGGCAATGGCTTCCTGCCGTACCTTCTTATCCAGGATTTGTCCACTCCCTTGGACTTGTTCCTGGAGGTTTTGTAGCTGCTGCCAAACGGCCTGTCCAGCTGCGCCAAGATACCTCATTTGCGCCTCATGGGTATCCAAAAACTCCTGCATGTTTCTCACGAACTGATCTTGAACAGAGCGTTTTTTCGATTGCCTAGTTTGTGTAGAGGGTCCGCCCGTAAGTAGGGGGTCTGGGCTAGCAGCCCTTGATATTACCATAGAATCTTCCCCTCCGGCCTCCTCAGTTGCGGCCGAGGTATCTATGAAATAATTATCCCTTCGGGCAGTCATTGTAATAGGGGATAATGATGATAGTTTTTTTTTGAGGTGACTTCGTTACTCCAAGTGAACTTGTGAGTAACAATATACTGTGAGGGATGCGTACCAGACCACAAGAGTACACTACGCAGAGCTCAGAGTTCGGCTAACAGCTACAAAGGTAGAAGTCTCCAAGGTCTCTTCAGTCAACGTCGAGTAGAAATCTCCTTGATCCGATACGGGCCCCGCGAGCTACGTTATCAACAAAGATTCACTAGAGTTAGCGTTTGATGTTCGACCGTCTTCGACGTAATAGTTCAGGTAGAGTTCGAAGTCACGATAGAGTAAAGTAATTCAAAAGTATAGTCAAATAAAGTTGTAACTCGCGTATCAACGATTTATATTGTTAAGACTCTGATTTCGCCGATAATGGTTTGGCTAGTCAGTGAATGACACGGTATTTATATCCCTCGCTTATGTCTCGAGGACCCAATCTACTAATAATACAGAATACACTCGGGGCCTACCCGAGACCCTGAAAAACAACCAAGAACATTTAACTCCTAAGTCCGTAACCCAAACTCCTAAAGCCGCTAAAACCCCTCAACCTTTTTATCCACTCTAATGCACGTTTCCCTGTCGATATTTCTTCCCCATCGGCCGTCTGGTGGATAATCGTCAGCGTCGGCTATTCGGAGGTCTCGGATGGCAAGGCTACCTACTCAGGCCTCTTCCCACATCGCTTTCCCACATAGCAGAGTCCTCTCATGCCCATAGGTACCGCCGATAGGTACTCGGTCGGCTGGTAGCTTGCGCCGATTCGCTCCGAGTGATCCGATCTTCGATCCGATTGCTTCCAGCTGTCCCTCATATATCCACCGGTACCAAAACACTCCCCTCCGGCGGTTTGACGCTCCGGGGGTTATTATTGGGGTCGAAAACGTGTTTTTTATGACTCTGGGTTTTTTGGTCGTAATTTGGTCGCACCACACCCCGCGGGTGCGGTCCAGAGTTGACGTTAGCGTGCAGAGGGTATTGGGGTATCTACTAGCCTTTTTATAAATGCTTGGCATGCCCGTAACACAGGCACTCCTTATTGTACAAGAGCGCCAGGCAGCACAGAATGCTCTCATGGCAGAAGCTCTAGAGTATATGAGGATGGAGGTCAACTCTGTTCAGGAAGAACTCAGGAAATATGCGGAAAGAGATGAACTGGAAGCTGATGCCATGGAGATCGAGTGGACAAATCCAGCCACCCCACCAGACTTTGTTGCCGAAATACAGCGAGCCCTCGATGAAGGAAGGCTGGTGGTGGGTAGACCAGGAACTCCGGCACCAAATCCTTCCTCCAGGTCCTCTTCAAGGGCAGCCACCAGAACAATGCAGCGAAAGACCAGCCCCTTCGCAGCGTTCCCGGTCCGATCCTCTAGGAGAGTTATCCCTATTGTGCAGCCAGCAGTGGGAGCATCTCCCTTACCTCCCAGCCGCTTTAGTGGAGTACTCCCATATCTTGGAGGAGCCGACCGAACCTTTGACTATGAAGGAGAGCTCTTCCCAGGTGCAGGCCGAGGACCTCCCAGTCCACTAGCCAGGAACCCGGGAAGGTTCACCATGTCTGGGGCCTCTCAAGCAGCACCAACCTCACCGTTGGCCAGCAACCCGGCATCAGTAGCGCCTGCGGCCCCTCCTGCTGCGGCCGCCGCTCCCCCTCCCGCTAATGCACAGGGTGGAAGCGGTGGAAATCAGGACCCTCCACCTCCCGTGGCCCGCGCTCCCGCCCCAGGGGATTCAGACAGTTCTGACAGCTCAGACTCGGAACCAGAAGGTGGTGATAGAAGAAGCTGGCGGAGATACCTTAGGAAGAAATTGGAGAAGCAGCAGAAGCATCTGTTGGCAATGATGTCCCAGCAGTACCGACCTCCGGCCGCCTCTCCCCCTTCTGTATCAACCAGGGCCCGAGAACCAAAGGCACCACCACCCTCCAAGTTCCAGGGCAAAGCGGAGCAAGTGGAGACCTTCATCCGGCAATGTGAGAATGTGTTCTCCATTGAGAGCCTATCATTCACCTCTGAGGAGGTTAAGATCCGATATGCAGGAAACTTGATGGAAGGAGAGGCAGCGATCCGATGGTATGAGGCATACCATAACTCAATTGATCAAGCCTCCACCAACCGTCTTGCTGGAATGCCGGTGAAGTTGGAACAGAGATGGAAGCGTTGGGATTCCTTTGTGGATGCTTTTAGAGCAGCCTTCGGTGAAGCCATCTCTAGAGATGATGCTGTAGCCCAATGGAATACCCTTACCCACACGGCTCGACGAGGAATAGATCTCTTCCTCAATACTATTATTCAGCTGATGTGGAAGACTGGCTATGAGGGTCAGTTGGTGGATGATAAAATCAATAATTCCCTCCTTCCGGACCTAGGCATGGGTTGGGCTCTTTTTAATCCCAAGCCAAAGTCCCTGATGGAACGGATAGCTGCTCTAAGAGAATTAGGGCATACACATGAGAGGTATCAAGGGTTGGCAGCTGAGAAAGCACCCCCTCGGACCAAGAAAGATCCTCCTGCGGAGAAGGACCGGCAGCCCAAGAGGAAAAGAGAAGCTGCAAGCTCCTCCGGACCCCAGAAGGGCCCCGGACCTAAAGACAAAGCGGTGGAACTGAAGGGTATCCCGGGGGATATTCTAGAAGAAAGAAGGAAAGCAGAAGTATGCTTGAAGGTATGGCCTTTCGGTACTCCCTATTGGTAGAGTGCATAGACTGACTTGTGCAATAGTGCGGCAAGTCCAGACACAAATGGACCGATTGTTGGTCCAAGGAACCTACTGTTGTCCCAGTGGCAGCAGTAAGAGTACAAAAGCGGAAAAGAGGGAATGGCAAGTCCAACTCTCAGAAGAAGGCTAAAGTGGCTGCTGTAGTAGCAGAGGATCCACTTGTTGTACTCCCGGAGGTTAAAGAAGATTTTGTTTTTCAGCCTGAGCAAGACTCGGACAATGAAATCATCTGGTAGAAAAGTGTCTGTTTGAGTCTATGTTTACTAGTTTTCTTTTATATGGGTTTTGGGGTTTCTCTTGAATAAATTATGATTGTGTTTCTGCCTATTTGATTGCTGTAAGCACTCTGAGGATGGGTTTAAGACCCGAAACAGCTGGTCTGTCAGTGCTCTACCAAAGTTATATTTTGCTACGAAGACACTTCCAAACCGCTACCAAAAACTACCATACATCATATCTGCTATATTTTCGCTTGGGAATAGAACCAAAGGATCTTTGATCTTAGTAGTGCCCAAGGCTATTAGCCATGTTGAAAAGACAAAGAGAAACGAGTTCGGAACCCGCTGTTAAGCAAAGAAGGTTGGAACAGAAGCTTCCCTCCTTACCAGTACATGGCAAAAGACCTATATTGAAGGCAGGACTGTCATGGACGGTCAAAGGAAAGGATGAAGGTGTTACGGGCATGCCAAGCATTTACGAGAAAAGGCTAGTAGATATCCCAATACCCGCTGCACGCTAACGTCAACTCTGGACCGCACCCGCGGGGTGTGGTGCGACCAATATACGACCAAAACACGGAGTCATAAAAAACACGTTTTCGACCCCAATAATAACCCCCGGAGCGTCAAACCGCCGGAGGGGAGTGCTTTGGTACCGGTGGATATATGAGGGACAGCTGGAAGCAATCGGATCGAAGATCGGATCACTCGGAGCGAATCGGCGCAAGCTACCAGCCGACCGAGTACCTATCGGCGGTACCTATGGGCATGAGAGGACTCTGCTATGTGGGAAAGCGATGTGGGAAGAGGCCCGAGTAGGTAGCCTTGCCATCCGAGACCTACGAGTAGCCGACGCTGATGATTATCCACCAGACGGCCGATGGAGAGGAAACATCGACAGGGAAATGTGCATTAGAATGGGTAAATAGGTTGAGGGGTTTTAGCGGGTTTAGGAGTTTGAGTTACGGACTTAGGAGTTAAATGTTCTTGGTTGTTTTTCAGGGTCTTGGGCAGGCCCCGAGTGTATTCTGTATTATTAGTAGACTGGGTCCTCGAGACATAAGCGAGGGATATAAATACTGTGTCATTCACTGACTAGCCAAACTATCATCTGTGAAATCAGAGTCTTAACAATATAAATCGTTGATACGCGAGTTACAACTTTATTTGACTATACTCTTTGAAATACTTTACTCTATCGTGACTTCGCACTCTACCTGAACTATTACGTCGAAGACGGTCGAATGCCATGCGCTAACTCTAGTGAATCTTTGTCGATAACGTAGCTCGCGGGGCCCGTATCGGATCAAGGAGAATTATACTCGACGTTGACTGAAGAGACCTTGGAGACTTCTACCTTTGTAGCTGTTAGCCGAACTCTGAGCTCTGCGTAGTGTACTCTTGTGGTCTGGTACGCATCCCTCACAGTATATTGTTACTCACAAGTTCACTTGGAGTAACGAAGTCACCTCAAAAAGAAGAACTATCATCATTATCCCCTATCACAATGACTACCCGAAGGGATAATTATTTCATAGACACCTCGGCCATAACTGAGGAGGCCGGAGGGGAAGATTCTATGGTGATATCAAGGGCTGCTAGCCCAGATCCCCTACTTACGGGAGGACCCTCTATACAAACTAGGTCGACGAGTAAACGCTCTGCTCAAGCCCAGTTCGTGAAGAATATGCAGGAGTTTTTGTATACCCATGAGGCACAAATGAGGTATCTTGGTGCAGCTGGACAGGCCGTTTGGCAGCAGCTACAAAACCTCCAGGAACAAGTCCAAGGGAGTCGGCAAATCCTGGACAAGAAGTGTGAGGGATGCGTACCAGACCACAAGAGTACACTACGCAGAGCTCAGAGTTCGGCTAACAGCTACAAAGGTAGAAGTCTCCAAGGTCTCTTCAGTCAACGTCGAGTATGAATCTCCTTGATCCGACACGGGCCCCGCGAGCTACGTTATCAACAAAGATTCACTAGAGTTAGCGTATGATGCTTCGACCGTCTTCGACGTAATAGTTCAGGTAGAGTTCGAAGTCACGATAGAATAAAGTATTTCTAAAAGTGTAGTCAAATAAAGTTGTAACTCGCGTATCAACGATTCATATTGTTAAGACTCTGATTTCGCCGATGATGGTTTGGCTAGTCAGTGAATGACACGGTATTTATATCCCTCGCTTATGTCTCGAGGACCCAGTCTACTAATAATACAGAATACACTCGGGGCCTACCCAAGACCCTGAAAAACAACCAAGAACATTTAACTCCTAAATCCGTAACCCAAACTCCTAAACCCGCTGAAACCCCTCAACCTATTTATCCACTCTAATGCACGTTTCCCTGTCGATGTTTCCTCTCCATCGGCCGTCTGGTGGATAATCGTCAGCCTCGGCTACTCGTAGGTCTCGGACGACAAAGCTACCTACTCAGGCCTCTTCCCACATCGCTTTCCCACATAGCAGAGTCCTCTCATGCCCATAGGTACCGCCGATAGGTACTCGGTCGGCTGGTGGCTTGCGCCGATTCGCTCCGAGTGATCCGATCTTCGATCCGATTGCTTCCAGCTGTCCCTCATATATCCACCAGTCCAAGAGCACTCCCCTCGGGCGGTTTGACACTCCGGGGGTTATTATTGGGGTCGAAAACGTGTTTTTTATGACTCCGTATTTTGGTCGTATATTGGTCGCACCACACCCCGCGGGTGCGGTCCAGAGTTAACGTTAGCGTACAGAGGGTATTGGGGTATCTACTACCCTTTTTGTAAATGCTTGGCATGCCCGTAACAAGAAGGTACGGCAAGAAGCCATTGCCCAAAAACAACATCTTGAATCGCTCTTTGAGCTCGTCGCCAATGTCCGACAAGTACAAGAAGCTGCACGAGCCGCCGACCATGAGGTTCTGGAGCGAAGTCATCATCAAACCTTGTAACGGCAACTATGTATTTCGGCTAGGTGATAAACTGGAATGAGAAGAGGAGGTATTGTGTAGTGGGATTAGGATTTGTAATGGGGATTTCTGTTATGTTCTTTTTGTTTCTGTTACGCGAAGGTATTAGTCATCGTTGGACTATGGTTGGATATATAAGGGGGCGTTGTTTCGTGCTTTTGTTTGTTTCTCTCTTTTCTTCTTTCTTTACGCAACCTCTGTATTCTCCTTGCTCGCTAAGGCTCGCAAAACTTCCTGACAATAAACCTCGCTTCAAAAACACTTTATTTTTACTCCCCTCGGTTTACCCTGGTATATCATACCAGGCTGAGCCACTTTGTCCCCGATCGTACGGTCGCGTTTTGTTGTTCCAAGCGAAAGAAACCTACGAAAACTGGCTTCCAGCGAAGAATTTTCCAGCCTCGGCCTCCCGAAAGGAAGGAAAAGAAACCTATCCGAAACATCACTCTACGCCGCCAGAAGAACTGGACATTCAATCATGTCGCAGCAAGCCTCGCTCCAGTCCTTTTTCACCCAGTCTTCCCAGTCTTCCCAGCAAGGGACAGCCCCTCCGCAGAACAGGAACACCCCGGTTCCCGATCCAACCCCACCCGGAGCTCAGGAACAAGAATTCTCCTCGACCTTTGCAACACAATCCGACTATAGCGACCCATACCAACCGAGAGTTGACTACCTCTACCCGAGCATCGTTCCCCAGGACACTCACACCCAGACGGACCTGAACTATATTACCTGGGCCATTAGACATGCCACCAGCCGAATTTGCCCACCAACCGACAGGATTGAAATCCTCGAAGAGCAAACGACCACACTCCGGAGAACAGTGGATACTCTGAGGCACCAAATCGAGGCGCAGACAACCATGATCACCAGCATGCACTCGGCGATCCATCTTCTCCTCAACAAACAACCACAACCGCAGCAACCGCAACAACCACAACAAAACCAACAACAGCAACAACAGCGAAAACCACAACAACCGCAGGGACAGAGAATGCCCCCTCCAGCGGTCCCCCAAACAGTTCCCCAAGCAGCGCCTCAGGCAGCCCCTCAGGCCCCCCCACCCGCACCCCCCCAACAAGCCCCACTCCGTGGATGGAAAGCAGGCACCTGGGCCGCCGTGGCCTCGGCACCCGGTCCTGCTCAAGGAAACTTCCAGGTTGTTGAGAGAAAAAAGAAGTCTGCAAAGCCAAAAGCGGACCCTCTCTTCAAGCCAGAATATACCAAAATCAACAGAGAAATCATTGTTGAAACCACTGCTCCATCCGACGTTAATCCCTCCGAGATCAGGACCCTAGTCAATGCAAGAATTCAGGACGAATCCTGCCACTTCATCTCAGCAAGGAGAACACCCAAGGATAATTTTATCCTGGAAACAAAGTTCGTCACCCCAGCATCGAAGGCAATGGAATACGCCAAAGAAATTGAGGAGGCTCTCCTCACCCTACAAGTACCAGTCGCTATCATCCGGGCAAACTCCAAATGGTCAAAGTTCCTTATTCACGGAATTCCCACAACGGTCGGAGAAGGCGTCGAGGCAGGACAACTGGTAGCATCTGAAATTAGAAGCAACTATGGAGAAAACTTCCAACTTGCCCAGGTTCCCCGCTGGATCTCCAGAGCAGAGACTCGAATGGAGAAAACCCACTCATCAATGGTCATCGCGCTCCCAGGACAAGTTACAATGGAAACACTAGGAGTTAAGTTCCTATCCCTCTTTAACCGAAGCTGCTACATCGAGGCCTTCCTCCCAACCTTCCCAGACATCCAATGCGCGAAATGCCTTGAATACGGTCACCGCCAGGAGAAATGCAAAAACAACGGGAAATGCGGTCATTGTGCCGGAGACCATCTCACCAGCTTCCACCCATGCAATCAATGCCAGGGAGGATATAGATGCACCCATACCCCAATCAGATGTCTGAACTGTAAAGGAATCCATAAGGCCTCCGACCCAGCATGCCCCGAAAGAGTCAAACGCCGATTCCTCAACAAAGGAAAGGAAAACGCCCCACCTGCTCAAGACCCACCGGCCGCACCCGTCCAAGAGTTGCTTCCGATAGTTCAAGTACCAGCCACCGCCCCAGTCGGAGCCACACCCGTTCCCGAAGACGACCAACACATGACAAATAATGCTTAGGCCTCGAACCACCGCGCTCGCACATCAACTCAATTGTGCACGGAGCGAACTTATTACCAAGGCGGCGGTAGAAGAAGCGGAAACTGACTCTAGCATTTATTTCCTATTATTACAAGAACCATGGACCTCAGCAGAGGGATTCCTACCAGAATCAAACCTCTTTTATATTTTTACAGCCAGCAACACCAATACAAAATGCGCAACATACGTCCGCAAACATGCCAACCTCAAACCAAAACACCACTACACAAACAATAATTTTATAGTATCGATTACGGTAGAAATCCAGAACAAGAAAACCCAAATCCTAAATATATACTCCCCAGGCCGAAGCGGCCCCTTTGCCCAAATAGCAAAAACAATCCAAACCCTCGACAACTGTCTAGTAATGGGAGACTTCAACTGCCATCATCAAATGTGGTACGGAGTATCATCACATGAATACAGAAACAACATCCGAGCAGACCGCGCCAAAGGTGCACGGCTAAAACAATGGATAACTCGACAGAAACTGACCCTCCTGAATGAACCAGGCGTCTTTACGCACTTCCCCAGAGACAGAGGAAAAAGGCCTACAATTATCGACCTCACACTTGTAAAAGGCCCAACTCTCGACCACAACCTACGATGGAGCACCGAACCCTATGGAGCAGGCTCAGATCACGGGAGAACCTCCGTTCACTTACACTTGGAAAAACCACCTTTTGTACCTAGACGAATGTGGCGACAAACAGACTGGAAGCTATTGGAGAACCATATGTCAAACATTTCCATCCCTGCAGAGGCATGGGAAACCAAGGAACATACGGAACAAACTGTCGATTTCTTCCTAGAACTGGTCAGGTCAACAGTCAGGATAGTAACACCACTCTCGAAGGAGGGGGTAAGAGCCAACTCCTGGTGGTCAGAGGAAATGAAACAAATGAAGGCAAGGGTAAACGCAGCAGAAAGGAAAGCGAGAAACACAAGGAAACCCAATCATGTGGAGGAACACCGGAAGGTTTGCAGAGAATGGACAGTCATGATCCGGAAAGCAAAAGCGGACCAGCGGGAAAAGACGATAAACGAGGCGAAAGGTAGTGAGGTCTGGAGAATGCTAAACGCAGGAAGGAGAAGAGACACAATCATACCAACCATACAAGGTGAAGAAACGTTTGCGGGGAAGTGTCAAGCTCTAAGAGCCCAACTTTTCCCCTCAAAACGGACGTCCCCCGACCATCCCTCTCTAAACATTAGACCCCCCTCTTTTGACCTTAGCAACACCTTCGACATAGTCAACCCCGAAGAACTTAATAAAGCAATCGACTCCTGTCCAGCGCACTCGGCAACCGGCCCGGATGGTATTCCCTATACCTTTATTAAAGCAATAGTGAGAGCAAACACAACTCTAATTCAAGACATGTTCTCTGCCATGCTCCGGCACGGGGTACACCCAGCGGAATGGAAAATAGCTAAGTGCATCCCGATCCCGAAACCCGGCAAAGCAAATTACCATGAAGCAAAAGCCTATCGGCCCATTTCCCTTCTACAATGCTTCAGTAAAATTCTGGAGAAGATAGTGGCTCAGAGACTCTGCACCGCTGGAGAAATCCTAGGCACACTCTCAGTGAATCAATTTGGAGGAAGACCAACCATTTCGGCAATCGATGCCCTCCTGAGAACCTTAACACCAATACAACAAAACTTACTACTGAAAAACAGTACCGGAATCGCTCGGCGAGACAGGCCAGCGATCCTAACCAACGATATCCAAGGAGCATTTAACTGCGTCGACCATCTACTCCTCGTGGAAATCATGTACCAACAAAAATTCCCTACCTACTTAACAGAATGGTGCAAGGAATTCAATACCGGCAGAAAACTACAGTTTCAATTTAACCATGAGCTAGAGGAACCACAGCCCTATGATTCTGGAGTGCCGCAAGGTAGCCCCATGGCCCCGGTACTATTCCTGATCTATGCTGGAGTAATCCTGAACCCAACAAGTAGCCCAAAAGAGATGGACACCACATATATCGATGACGATGCGCTGGTGCAAATATCCAAAACACCAGGCTTCATAATCAAGAGAATGGAGGAACGAATGAGAGAGAGACTAATAAAAGCTGAGCCACTCCAAATTAAGTACGACCCGGATAAATCCGACCTGATTTTCTTCCGGCCCACCACGTCATCCATACAACAACCACGACTTCCGGTCAAAATTAATAAGACCAACATACACCCCAAGGAGAGGCTGAAATATGTAGGAGTCTGGATAGATCCGACCCTCTCCTTCCGGCCCCACATCGAAGCAGCGATTGCAAAAGGCCTTAAAGCCCTCCACCAGATTCGATACACCGCCCGCTTGCCAGGAATAACGGTTAAAACAATCCATCATATCATAACACAAGGTTTCCTCCCAAGTCTACTCTACGGATCCGAGGCTTGGTGGACCGGCGCAGACCACATTATAAGATCCCTCGAACCACTATATAATGAAGCGGCCCGGATCATCACCGGCCTACCACGATGGACCAAAAGAACTAAACTCCTCCGAGAAGCAGGCTTACTGTTACGGGCATGCCAAGCATTTACGGGAGTGAGAGAAAAGGCTAGTAGATACCCCAATACCCTCTGTACGCTAATATCAACTCTTGACCACACTCGCGGAGTGTGGTGCGACCAAATTACGACCAAAAAATACGGAGTCATAAAAAACACGTTTTCGACCCCAATAATAACCCCCGGAGCGTCAAACCGCCGGAGGGGAGTGTTTTGGTACCGGTGGATATATGAGGGACAGCTGGAATCAATCGGATCGAAGATCGGACCGCTCGGAGCGAATCGGCGCAAGCTGCCA